GGTCGATTGATTTGATTGGTCGTAAAAGCCATGTGACTTATATAACTTGTGAATCCTAATGATTTTCACCATTTTGGATTTAGGCATAGACGCAGTAACATATCCTGGAAAGAAACAGTGTCAAACAATTTCAGAAATCATGGATTTAACAGACCAGAGGATGTTATCAACATGAGAATGAACCTCTTATGCAGATCGTCATGTCAACATTTAGCCATAATGTTTTAACATAACTGATTTGTACGAAGGAATCAAGGATATGTGCTGCCCAAATTTTCAACGTTTAGCAGTCATTATATAATGATATAGCAGTACCTTATGCTTGCAGTACAGATCATCATGTCAACATGGATCTTAGAACCATACATGGTATCAACTTATGTTAACATGGATGGATTGATGTCAACATGGATGGATACTCGGTATGCCGTATGAGAACCTGGTTTGCAGACCTTTATCATGATCAACATGGTCTCATAAAGGTAGGTCTAAAATGATATGTAGCGTCTACGTAGAGTTTTAATCACTGCATTGAAGAGTGGCCCCGTTGTGAAAGACGAGAGCGGTAGTTATGCTCGCTAGTCTCCACAATAGTTGCAAGTATGCTACCAAAGCTTGTAAAAAGGGTGCTTTAATGACAGTGATTAGGACGTCATTACAAATTAAAAGGGGAATAACTTATTTTCTTCATATATGAACAAGTAAATGTTAGCATAATTTTTATTTATTAGAGTAGATTAATTTCAAAACTTGTTAAATAAATAACAAAAAGCAACGTTTGGTTATAAAGCATCAGCAGCTATGGTGACTGTGTGACTCTTCTCGACTGTATGAGATTAAGGGAGAATAATGTCTCATATGGAAGTCACATAGTAGCTTCTCCGTAGCGTTTTAGTCGTTGACTTGGAGAGTGACCCCGTTGTGGATGACGAGAGCGGTAGTTATGCTCGCAAGTCTCTGCAATAGGTACAAACAGGCTGCTCAGATTTGTACGATGGGTGCTCCAAGAAAGTGATTAAGCCGTCAGTGCATTTATTCTAACCTTTTTTGTTGTTGCTGTAGTTAATATCTATAAACTTTATTTCACATCAAAGCAATTTCCTTCAAATTCCGATTTTTCTGTTTTGTTAGTTTTAATGAATATATTCGTCACTCTCTATCAATATTTGTTTTTATCTACATATGTTAAAAAAAGCAAAGTTAAAGCATGCATGGCGTCGAATACTATAGAGGAAACCTTAAACAATAAATATTAAACTGTATTTTGTGTACAAAATGACTAAAAAGAGAGAAAACGTATCTGCACGTCATATTAAGAACAATCTATTGTTGTAGAGTTTGAAAATATCGATATACTGTCAGATCAGTATATTTTTACATTTCGGAATACGACCAAAAGCACCTTCTTAACAGTACGATCAACGAAAAGGTCTAAAAAGACCAACTGAAGAGTAAATACAAATATTTCTATTCAATTTGGCAACAAGTTTACTACTAGTTAGTGGGTTGTAACGACCTTAACTGACTGTTAAGCCCTCGCACGGTCAGCTCGCTGCGCTGAGGCATTTGATGATCATTAACATATTTTTGTTGTTGTCGTCAAGATGGAAAAAGGCGGCTATTTTGGTTTAGCGTAGAAAGATTTGGTTTCTTGACGATTGAAGTATTACAATCTCCACAACGGCTGTTTTTAGAGACTGGTTGATCAGCTGGGCATGGGATGGTCTGATATGATATGATGGTATGATGTTATGTATGTCCAGAAGATAGTTCAAAATTTTTTTCCTTTTTTAATTTTTTAAAGACCTTAAAATTTTACAAAAGTCCTGAATTAATGAAGAAATGTGTAACATTCACATACTTTTCTTCATTAATTTGCCTATTTTTCAACCAAAATATTCCTTTATTAGCTTTTTAAAGACCTGGAAATTTTACAAATCTAGAATTAATGAGAAAAAAATGTTTCAAATTTTTAATGAACGATTACTACAAGATTTCATCAGATTGTTCTGGAATGTGGGAGAAGCTTATGATTTGTGGTTACCATTTGGCCAACGTGTCATACTTCTGATTGGTCGATTGATTTGATTGGTCGTAAAAGCCATGTGACTTATATAACTTGTGAATCGTAATGATTTTCACCATTTTGGATTTAGGCATAGACGCAGTAACATATCCTGGAAAGAAGCAGTGTCAAACAATTTCAAAAATCATGAATTCAACAGACCAGAGGATGTTATCAACATAAGAATGAACCTCTTATGCAGATCGTCATGTCAACATTTAGCCATGTTTTAACATAACTGATGTGTACGAAGGAAGCAAGGATATGTGCTGCCCAAATTTTCAACGTTTAGCAGTCATTATATAATGATATAGCAGTACCTTATGCTTGCAGTGCAGATCATCAGGTCAACATGGATCTTAGAACCATACATGGTATCAACTTATGTTAACATGGATGGATTGATGTCAACATTGATGGATACTGGGTATGCCGGATGAAAACCTGGTTTGCAGACCTTTATCATGCTCAACATGGTCTCATAAGGGTAGGTCTAAAATGATATGTAGCTGCGTCGTAGCGTTTTAATCACTGCATTGAAGAGTGGCCCCGTTGTGAATGACGAGAGCGGTAATTATGCTCGCTAGTCTCCACAATAGTTGCAAGTATGCTACCAAAGCTTGTAAAAAGGATGCTTTATTGACAGTGATTAGGACGTCATTACAAATTAAAAGGGGAATAACTTATTTTCTTCATATATGAACAAGTAAATGTTAGCATAATTTTTATTTATTAGAGTAGATTAATTTCAAAACTTGTTAAATAAATAACAAAAAGCAACGTTTGGTTATGAAGCATCAGCAGCTATGGTGACTGTGTGACTCTTCTCGACTGTATGAGATTAAGAAAGAATAATGTCTCATATGGATGTCACATAGTAGCTTCTCCGTAGCGTTTTAGTCGTTGACTTGGAGAGTGACCCCGTTGTGGATGACGAGAGCGGTAGTTATGCTCGCAAGTCTCTGCAATAGGTACAAACATGCTGCCCAGATTTGTACGATGGGTGCTCCAAGAAAGTGATTAAGCCGTCAGTGCATTTATTCTAACCTTTTTTGTTGTTGCTGTAGTTAATATCTATAAACTTTATTTCACATCAAAGCAATTTCCTTCAAATTCCGATTTTTCTGTTTTGTTAGTTTTAATGAATATATTCGTCACTCTCTATCAATATTTTTTTTATCTACATGTGTTAAAAAAAGCAAAGTTGAAGCATGCATGGCGTCGAATACTATAGGGGAAACCTTAAACAATAAATATTAAACTGTATTTTGTGTATAAAATGACTAAAGAGAGAGAAAACGAATCTGCACGTCATATTAAGAACAATATATTGTTGTAGAGTTTGAAAATGTCGATATACTATCAGATCAGTATATTTTTACATTTCGGAATACGACCAGAAGCACCTTCTTAACAGTACGATCAACGAAAAGGTCTAAAAAGACCAACTGAAGAGTAAATACAAATATTTCTATTCAATTTGGCAACAAGTTAACTACTAGTTAGTGGATTGTAACGACCTTAACTAACTGTTAAGCCCTCGCACGGTCAGCTCGCTGCGCTGAGGCATTTGATGAGCATTAACATATTTTTGTTGTTGTCGTCAAGATGGAAAAAGGCGGCTATTTTTGTTTAGCGTAGAAAGATTTGGTTTCTTGACGTTTGAAGTATTACAATCTCCACAACGGCTGTTTCCAGAGACCGGTTGATCAGCTGGGCATGGGATGGTCTGATATGATATGATGGTATGATGTAATGTATGTCCAGAAGATAGTTCAAATTTTTTTTCCTTTTTTAATTTTTTAAAGACCTAAAAATTTTACAAAAGTCCAGAATTAATGAAGAAATGTGTAACATTGACATACTTTTCTTCATTAATTTACCTATTTTTTCAACCAAAATATTCCGTCATTAGTTTTTTAAAGACCTGGAAATTTTACTAATCTAGAATTAATGAGAAAAAAATGTTTCAAATTTTCAATGAAGGAATTACTACAAGATTTCATCAGATTGTTCTGGAATGTGGGAGAAGCTTATGATTTGTGGTAACCATTTGGCCAACGTGTCATACTTCTGATTGGTCGATTGATTTGATTGGTCGTAAAAGCCATGTGACTTATATAACTTGTGAATCCTAATGATTTTCACCATTTTGGATTTAGGCATAGACGCAGTAACATATCCTGGAAAGAAGCAGTGTCAAACAATTTCAGAAATCATGGATTTAACAGACCAGAGGATGTTATCAACATGAGAATGAACCTCTTATGCAGATCGTCATGTCAACATTTAGCCATAATGTTTTAACATAACTGATGTGTACGAAGGAAGCAAGGATATGTGCTGCCCAAATTTTCAACGTTTAGCAGTCATTATATAATGATATAGCAGTACCTTATTGTAGAGTACGAAGACTAAGGTACATGTATTTTATTGTGACATGTGTGATGTACATGTAAGTTTACATAGACAGGGAGAAGATATTTTTGATGTATGTTTTAATTGGTATTAATAAAGCATATTGTTTAATATTCTGTATTTTTTTATGAAAGTCTTATTATGTAGGAAACAGTAACTGTGTGAAATAACTTGTACTTTATTACTTGTAATAATTGTAGTCTGAAACATATTCATAATTGAAGCAAATAAGTTTTAAATAACATTTAATTAAGTAAAGTTAGAACAATTACAATATTATGATTTTCTAGAAATATTGAATTACTGTCATTTGAATATTTGATAAACTATTTGAAGTTCATGTTATAATTTACCAGTTCATAGTAATAATCCACTGAATGTCTTGTATTTTTGTGATGATCCAATTGTAGCAACTGTAGTAGATCGTAGTAAATCTCGTAGTAAATCCACGCACCTTGCTTGAATTTTATGAATGAAATGTACTGACATGCGCAGTGGAACCCATGTGTCACTTGGGACGATTTTTCAATAAAAACACTATTTTTACGTTTCGGCAACTGTTTTCAAATACTCTTTGTAATTCCTTTTAGTATTTGTAGTCAACGTCTTCAATGTTTTGCAGATGTTAATGCTCACTATCCTTGATATTTGTCATTTTGGTTAGCCGGTGACACACATAACTTTTGGCAATGTTGTTTACGTATTGTGACTTCCGGTGAAGTTTTATTGGTGTATTTTTAGCTACTATAGAAATTTGTTTAGTACCATGCAAAATTTGTTTATTATATGACTGTTACTAAAATTGTATATTATCATGATTTTTGTAATTTATTTGAGAATTCAAATATTTCGTTGGACAGCAAGCGCGCGATCCAACAATTTTCCAACTTTGCCAACAATCCAACATTGACGTAATTTCGACGCTTGTTCGTCAGTTCTGCTTAAATCTTTGGTCGTTACAGTTAGTATTTTATTTTGCTCATCAGTAATTTTTGTCAAAATGGTTAATTTTTCTCACAAACTTCATTTTTTTTGGGGTTAAATTGTAAAGGAAAATAGTAAATTTAGCGTTTTCTAATTTAGAAAGGAATATTTCATTTTTAGCGGACTCTTAGGAGCCGGACTCCTACATTTTTGATCTTTTGCTTAAAGTATTTTATTCTTTTAGTAAATTTAGGAAAGTTCTTAAAACTGTTTTAAAATATCTTTTGGGTTAATTATCGTATTATTGCTGGCAAAGCTTTATTTCAAGTTATCTTTTAAAGTTAGGATTAATGTTATTGTACATTTAAATTTAAAATTGTAGTTCACGTTTACTGTTAACGTTTGTCTTTTTCAAATAAATAGCATTATATAGGAAAACATTTGGCAATTAAGGGATAATTTCCTAAAGGTCGGGAAATTATAATTAACAAAACAGTTTATTTAGGTATAAACTGTATTTCATTGTTAGTTTTTATTCAGGAAAGGTTCTGAATATAAACATTTTTTTTATGACTTGAAATTAGTATTTTCTGTAAGGGTAATTTATTTTCTTGGTAATATAGCAGGACTCAGCCTTTTAGGTATTTTTCTAACATACCAACATACAATTATATTGGTAATAGCAAGTGTTATTTTTTATTAGAATTGCACGGACAAAGGACAAAGTTATCCGGCAATCATAAAAATTATATTAATCATCTCTTGAGTGTAGAGATAAAATATTACATGTATACTGAATAGATTCTTGTCATATATAATCTAAAAGTCTATAATTTAAGTATCTTACTACTTAAAATTGTTGTTGTTTATCTTGAATATCAATGAAAATATCTGAGTCTTGAAATGAATAAAATATAGAAACTTATTTATGTTACTTTTAACAAATGCCTATATTATACTGACCAGATCATATCTTGTCATACTGACTTAGCAATTTACAAACTACTCATAATTTTGAGTAAAACTTTTGGGTCAAGCATTTCAAGCCCCTGTCCGCTACATAATTTTGGCATCCACGGTGGGATTCATTAAACTTTATTGGATCCTGTGATACGAACCTTTTGAAGTGTAATAGATTATCAGTGAAATGGGTAAACCAAGGTCTGTTCGATCAAGAAAGACTGACACATATAATAGAGGACATAGTAGCCAATTAGAATCAGAAACACAGGACAGTGAAATCCATACTCTCCACACCACTGATGACGAAACATGTCATTCTGGAAGTGATCAAGTTTATGAAGCTTCTCATGACTTGTCTGACATAGAGACTGAGGAAGAAGAAGAAACAATAATTTTAAGACCCAGATCCAAATTAAGTAAGAGACCAAGTCCTAGAAAACCTGGCTCTCCAAGAAGGTCCTCCAGATATAGAAAGCAAAATGATCTAGAAAATAAGTCAGAACCTCAAAACCAAGGTGATTCTGGGATATATGATATTATTAAAGTAGCTATACAAGATATGACTGGTCAAGTAGTATCAGCCATTCAAAATGCTTTTACTGGCATTACAAAACAATATAGGCATACTAATGCTTCAAGTGAGCAACAAAAACATGCTAAAAGTATAACAATTGCTAATAATAGTAATTCAATTTCTAAAGTTAGAAAAAGTAAACCAAGTTTTACATCTAATAGTAATTTAGATTTTACATCAGCATCTGAGTATGATGAAACTGATGATGAAATATTTAGTGATGCATGCTCTGATATGGATACTAATAGTATTGACACAGATGTTATAACCCAAAGTAAACGATCAAAATCGAAAATTGGGTTTTCCAATGCTAAACTCCCATCCTTCAAAGGAAAAGAAAAATGGGAAGTCTGGATTAATAGGTTTGAAGCAGTAGCAAATCTACAAAATTGGGATAATAAAACTAAATTGAGTGAATTGTTAACCAGACTTCAAGGGGAAGCTGGTGATTTTGTGTTTGACCAATTAAATAGTAAAACATTAAAGAATTACTCAAAATTAGCAACAGAACTTAAAAATAGATTTGGAGTCTTTGAAAATAAAAGAACATATAAAGTACAATTTAACAGACGTATTCAAAAATCAAATGAAGACACTGCAGACTATGCTGCGGAATTAAAACGCATATATGACAAGGCTTATTCAAACAGACATGCTAAAATTAGGCAGGAAGACCTGCTTCAAAGATTCTTAATGGGATTGTCAGATAATGAAGCAAGAATTCATATTGAACTGACAAAAGACCCCAAAACTATTGAGGAAGCAGTACAGGAGGTTATTATCTATAAGGAGACAACTTCAGAAACACAGGAGGGTAATTCAGAAAAAAATACCAAAGTAAGGCAACTAAAGAAACAGAACACCAATTTCAACAAACAAGGTTCTACAAATACACAAAAAGATGTAATTTCGATAACCAAAGATGAATTACAGAAAATGTTTGACCAAATGTACCAGGACAAGAAAAGAAATGATGATACACATACATCAGTAACAGGACACAATTATCATGATGAAAGACAGTTTGACAGACAGCCCTTCAATGTCAATGCACCATCCTATGTTCCAAATGGGAATTTTAGAAAGAATAATTCAGACAGAAATGCTAACCCAGAAACTATCCCAAAATGTTATTATTGTGGTCAACCAGGTCATTATGCCAGAAAATGCTATAGTAATCCCAATAGGCAACCAGATTATAGAAATAATAAGGCTACTCCTCCAAGACAGATGAATATGCCTTACACTCCCCCCAACAGTAATACTAGTCCGTCACAAGGTGAATTTAAATCAGATGGATATACATTAAACTAGAACGGGTTAACTCAGCTGACCAGAAGTTAGCCCTTAAGTTTAATGAAAATGGTCATAAATTGGACAATATTGGTGTACATGAACCAATAAGCAGTATAACTTTATGTAATAGTAAAAGTGAGGAAAATATTAGTAATAGTAATAGTATTGAGGAGAATATTAGCAAAAGTAATAAGGAAAATATTAGTAATAGTAATGAGGAAAATATTATTATTAGTGGAAATAATAGTAATAGTAAAGAGGAAAATATTAGTAATAGTGGAAATATTAGTAATAGTAATAGTAAAGAAGAAAATATTAGTAATAGCGGAAATATTACTAATAGTAATGAAGGAAATATTAGTAATAGTAAAAGTAATAAGGAAAATGTGAGTAATAGTGAAAATATAGTAAAACAGGGAGATACCTGTAATAGTAATACATCTTCTGTCACTTTAGAAGATAAAAATTTAGTTTGTTCTACACCAATTTTAGGTAGTGAACCATCAATTGCAAGTAATGTAATTGCAAGACAAGTACTCCGAAGTGATGGAGTTTATGTTGAAGGACATATCCAAGGGTCTGAGGTTAATTTTACTGTAGATACAGGGGCAGTTCGGACAGTGTTATCCGTGTATGCCTTTAATAAAATTCCTCATGTTAATAGACCAATCTTGGAAAAGTCTAATACTTTAGCTTGTGCTGATGGCAAACCCTTAAAGGAGCTAGGGAAAGCTATTTTTGAAATTCAATTAGGAAATTTATGTTTTAGTACAGAAATGATAGTAGCAAATATAGAAGATGAAGCTTTGTTAGGACTGGATGTTTTAATGAAATCTCAGTGGGGTCCTGCTGACATAAAGTTAACAGATGGAATTATACTGCTTGGTGGTCATGCTATCCATTGTACCCAAATTGGCCAAACAAATAAATTTATTCGAAAAATTTATGGAGAAGCTAACTATGAAATTCCCCCAAGGTCAGAAATTTGTGTTGATGTTTTTGTTGACCGACTTGATGATGATTCTCCTGAAACAGTTCAAGATTGTATTTTAGAACCCTCTGAGAATTTTTTAGAAAGATTTTCATTAGTAATGGCACCATGTTTAGTTAACATAAGCCAAGATGTTACGTGTAAAACTAGCATAATGGACACATATGATTACAAAAACACTTTGTATCAAGATACAGTAATTGGTTCAGCAGAAGTTGTTGAACATGAACCAAAGATGTTAATAGAAAGTGAAGACACACTTGAATTGAATAACCAAAATGCAATGAGAAGACTGAAATTTCATGACTCACATTTAGTGTCTGGAAAGGGGGTATCCAAAGAAGAAATAATTAGACATTTGACTAGTAAAGAAAAAGAACTTGTACCAGAACCACCTCCTACCACAGCTACAGGAACACAAAAGAAACAGAAGAAGTCCCTAGTAGTTAATGACAATTAATTATATATTGAATAAAGATGTAATTTTATATTTTTAATGGAAATTTAAGGTATTGTTTATTAGAGTTGTTAACATCAAAAGTAATTTAAGGTTAAGATAAAAAGTTATTTGAAGTTACTTAGACTGAAAATTTATCTTTGAAATTCATGAAAAGTTTATAAGTTATTTATATTAGATATAGTCAAAGCTTTCGAGAATTAAAAGTTATTTTTGGGTGTATTTTTAAACTTATATTTAAATATTTTGGTACTGTTTGCATGGTAACTAAATTCTCCTTCAGAAAACCTCTGGTTCTTAGCCATGTTCCACATTGTTCGTAATGTTCAGTAATTTTCCACATTTGGTATATATATATATATATGTCTGTCTGGTATCTACTGCCCTCGTGCTGATGGTCATAATGGTGAACCTTCTGGTGTATCTGAAAAGTATTATATAAAAAGAATATATTTATGTATAATTTTTACATAATCTAATATATTATCATGTATTTGTGTTATAATCATAGATGGTATTAATAAGAAAACTAATTTCATTCAGTTTTGGAAATAATTCTTAAAATATTAAGTCTAATTTTCTTTTTAGGAAGTATATGCAATTAAGGCATAGCCAAAAAATCAAAACTTTAAATGGAAGCTTTTGCAAAAATTGAAAAGTATTTGCGGGGACGCAAATAATGGAAAGGGGGTAAAATGTAGAGTACGAAGACTAAGGTACATGTATTTTATTGTGACATGTGTGATGTACATGTAAGTTTACATAGACAGGGAGAAGATATTTTTGATGTATGTTTTAATTGGTATTAATAAAGCATATTGTTTAATATTCTGTATTTTTTTATGAAAGTCTTATTATGTAGGAAACAGTAACTGTGTGAAATAACTTGTACTTTATTACTTGTAATAATTGTAGTCTGAAACATATTCATAATTGAAGCAAATAAGTTTTAAATAACATTTAATTAAGTAAAGTTAGAACAATTACAATATTATGATTTTCTAGAAATATTGAATTACTGTCATTTGAATATTTGATAAACTATTTGAAGTTCATGTTATAATTTACCAGTTCATAGTAATAATCCACTGAATGTCTTGTATTTTTGTGATGATCCAATTGTAGCAACTGTAGTAGATCGTAGTAAATCTCGTAGTAAATCCACGCACCTTGCTTGAATTTTATGAATGAAATGTACTGACATGCGCAGTGGAACCCATGTGTCACTTGGGACGATTTTTCAATAAAAACACTATTTTTACGTTTCGGCAACTGTTTTCAAATACTCTTTGTAATTCCTTTTAGTATTTGTAGTCAACGTCTTCAATGTTTTGCAGATGTTAATGCTCACTATCCTTGATATTTGTCATTTTGGTTAGCCGGTGACACACATAACTTTTGGCAATGTTGTTTACGTATTGTGACTTCCGGTGAAGTTTTATTGGTGTATTTTTAGCTACTATAGAAATTTGTTTAGTACCATGCAAAATTTGTTTATTATATGACTGTTACTAAAATTGTATATTATCATGATTTTTGTAATTTATTTGAGAATTCAAATATTTCGTTGGACAGCAAGCGCGCGATCCAACAATTTTCCAACTTTGCCAACAATCCAACATTGACGTAATTTCGACGCTTGTTCGTCAGTTCTGCTTAAATCTTTGGTCGTTACAGTTAGTATTTTATTTTGCTCATCAGTAATTTTTGTCAAAATGGTTAATTTTTCTCACAAACTTCATTTTTTTTGGGGTTAAATTGTAAAGGAAAATAGTAAATTTAGCGTTTTCTAATTTAGAAAGGAATATTTCATTTTTAGCGGACTCTTAGGAGCCGGACTCCTACATTTTTGATCTTTTGCTTAAAGTATTTTATTCTTTTAGTAAATTTAGGAAAGTTCTTAAAACTGTTTTAAAATATCTTTTGGGTTAATTATCGTATTATTGCTGGCAAAGCTTTATTTCAAGTTATCTTTTAAAGTTAGGATTAATGTTATTGTACATTTAAATTTAAAATTGTAGTTCACGTTTACTGTTAACGTTTGTCTTTTTCAAATAAATAGCATTATATAGGAAAACATTTGGCAATTAAGGGATAATTTCCTAAAGGTCGGGAAATTATAATTAACAAAACAGTTTATTTAGGTATAAACTGTATTTCATTGTTAGTTTTTATTCAGGAAAGGTTCTGAATATAAACATTTTTTTTATGACTTGAAATTAGTATTTTCTGTAAGGGTAATTTATTTTCTTGGTAATATAGCAGGACTCTTTTAGGTATTTTTCTAACATACCAACATACAATTATATTGGTAATAGCAAGTGTTATTTTTTATTAGAATTGCACGGACAAAGGACAAAGTTATCCGGCAATCATAAAAATTATATTAATCATCTCTTGAGTGTAGAGATAAAATATTACATGTATACTGAATAGATTCTTGTCATATATAATCTAAAAGTCTATAATTTAAGTATCTTACTACTTAAAATTGTTGTTGTTTATCTTGAATATCAATGAAAATATCTGAGTCTTGAAATGAATAAAATATAGAAACTTATTTATGTTACTTTTAACAAATGCCTATATTATACTGACCAGATCATATCTTGTCATACTGACTTAGCAATTTACAAACTACTCATAATTTTGAGTAAAACTTTTGGGTCAAGCATTTCAAGCCCCTGTCCGCTACATTATGCTTGCAGTGCAGATCATCAGGTCAACATGGATCTTAGAACCATACATGGTATCAACTTATGTTAACATGGATGGATTGATGTAAACATGGATGAATACTCGGCATGCCGGATGAGAACCTGGTTTGCAGACCTTTATCATGCTCAACATGGTCTCATAAAGGTAGGTCTAAAATGATATGTAGCGTCTACGTAGAGTTTTAATCACTGCATTGAAGAGTGGCCCCGTTGTGAAAGACGAGAGCGGTAGTTATGCTCGCTAGTCTCCACAATAGTTGCAAGTATGCTACCAAAGCTTGGTAATAAGGGTGCTTTAATGACAGTGATTAGGACGTCATTACAAATTAAAAGGGGAATAACTTATTTTCTTCATATATGAACAAGTAAATGTTAGCATAATTTTTATTTATTAGAGTAGATTAATTTCAAAACTTGTTAAATAAATAACAAAAAGCAACGTTTGGTTATGAAGCATCGGCACCTATGGTGACTGTGTGACTCTTCTCGACTGTATGAGATTAAGGGAGAATAATGTCTCATATGGATGTCACATAGTAGCTTCTCCGTAGCGTTTTAGTCGTTGACTTGGAGAGTGACCCCGTTTTGGATGACGAGAGCGGTAGTTATGCTTGCAAGTCTCTACATTAGGTACAAACATGCTGCCCAGATTTGTACGATGGGTGCTCCAAGAAAGTGATTAAGCCGTCAGTGCATTTATTCTAACCTTTTTTGTTGTTGCTGTAGTTAATATCTATAAACTTTATTTCACATCAAAGCAATTTCCTTCAAATTTCGATTTTTCTGTTTTGTTAGTTTTAATGAATATATTCGTCACTCTCTATAAAGATTTTTCTTTTTTAATTTTTTAATGACTTATATATGAAAAAGTAAATGTTAGCATAATTTTTATTTATTAGAGTAGATTAATTTCAAAACTTGTTAAATCAGTAACAAAACTCAGCTCTTGGTTATGAAGCATCGGCACCTATGGTGACTGTGTGACTCTTCTCGACTGTATGAGAATAAGGGAGAATAATGTCTCATATGGATGTCACATAGTAGCTTCTCCGTAGCGTTTTAGTCGTTGACTTGGAGAGTGACCCCGTTGTGGATGACGAGAGCGGTAGTTATGCTCGCAAGTCTCTGCAATAGGTACAAACAGGCTGCCCAGATTTGTACGATGGGTGCTCCAAGAAAGTGATTAAGCCGTCAGTGCATTTATTCTAACCTTTTTTGTTGTTGCTGTAGTTAATATCTATAAACTTTATTTCACATCAAAGCAATTTCCTTCAAATTCCGATTTTTCTGTTTTGTTAGTTTTAATGAATATATTCGTCACTCTCTATCAATATTTTTTTTTATCTACATGTTTTTAAAAAAGCAAAGTTGAAGCATGCATGGAATCGAATACTATAGGGGAAACTTTAAACAATAAATATTAAACTGTGTATTTTGGGTATAAAATGACTAAAAAGAGAAAAAAACGTATCTGCACGTCACATTAAAAACAATATATTGTTGTAGAGTTTGAAAATATCGATATACTATCAGATCAGTATATTTTTACATTTCGGAATACGACCAGAAGCACCTTCTTAACAGTACGATCGACGAAAAGGTCTAATAAGACTAACTGAAGAGTAAATACAAATATTTCTATTCAATTTGGCAACAAGGTAACTACTAGTTAGTGGGTTGTAACGACCTTAACTGACTGTTAAGCCCTCGCACGGTCAGCTCGCTGCGCTGAGACATTTGATGAGCATTAACATATTTTTGTTGTTGTCGTCAAGATGGAAAAAGGCGGCTATTTTGGTTTAGCGTAGAAAGATTTGGTTTCTGGACGTTTGAAGTATTACAATCTCCACAACGGTTGTTTCCAGAGACTGGTTGATCAGCTGGGCATGGGATGGTCTGATATGATATGATGGTATGATGTTATGTATGTCCAGAAGATAGTTCAACATTTTTTTCCTTTTTTAATTTTTTAAAGACCTAAAAATTTTACAAAAGTCCAGAATTAATGAAGAAATGTGTAACATTGACATAATTTCTTCATTAATTTACCTATTTTTTCAACCAAAATATTCCTTCATTAGTTTTTTAAAGACCTGGATATTTTACAAATCTAGAATTAATGAGAAAAAAATGTTTCAAATTTTTAATGAAGGAATTACTACAAGATTTCATCAGATTGTTCTGGAATGTGGGAGAAGCTTATGATTTGTGGTTACCATTTGGCCAACGTGTCATACTTCTGATTGGTCGATAGATTTGATTGGTCGTAAAAGCCATGAGACTTATATAACTTGTGAATCCTAATGATTTTCACCATTTTGGATTTAGGCATAGACGCAGTAACATATCATGGAAAGAAGCAGTGTCAAACAATTTCAGAAATCATGGATTTAACAGACCAGAGGATGTTATCAACATGAGAATGAACTTCTTATGCAGATCGTCATGTCAACATTTAGCCATGTTTTAACATAACTGATATGAACGAAGGAAGCAAGGATATGTGCTGCCCAAATTTTCAACGTTTAGCAGTCATTATATAATGATATAGCAGTACCTTATGCATGCAGTGCAGATCATCAGGTCAACATGGATCTTAGAACCATACATGGTATCAACTTATGTTAACATGGATGGATTGATGTCAACAGAGATGGATACTCGGTATGCCGGATGAGAACCTGGTTTGCAGATTTTATCATGCTCAACATGGTCTCATAAAGGTAGGTCTAATATGATATGTAGCGTCTCCGTAGAGTTTTAATCACTGCATTGAAGAGTGGCCCCGTTGTGAAAGACGAGAGCGGTAGTTATGCTCGCTAGTCTCCACAATAGTTGCAAGTATGCTACCAAAGCTTGTAAAAAGGGTGCTTTAATGACAGTGATTAGGACGTCATTACAAATTAAAAGGGGAATAACTTATTTTCTTCATATATGAACAAGTAAATGTTAGCATAATTTTTATTTATTAGAGTAGATTAATTTCAAAACTTGTTAAATAAATAACAAAAAGCAACGTTTGGTTATGAAGCATCAGCAGCTATGGTGACTGTGTGACTCTTCACGACTGTATGAGATTAAGGGAGAATAATGTCTCATATGGATGTCACATAGTAGCTTCTCCGTAGCGTTTTAGTCGTTGACTTGGAGAGTGACCCCGTTGTGGATGACGAGAGCGGTAGTTATGCTCGCAAGTCTCTGCAATAGGTACAAACAGGCTGCCCAGATTTGTACGATGGGTGCTCCAAGAAAGTGATTAAGCCGTCAGTGCATTTATTCTAACCTTTTTTGTTGTTGCTGTAGTTAATATCTATAAACTTTATTTCACATCAAAGCAATTTCCTTCAAATTCCGATTTTTCTGTTTTGTTAGTTTTAATGAATATATTCGTCACTCTCTATAAAGATTGTAATTTTTAATTTTTTAAAGACTTATATATGAAAAAATAAATGTTAGCATAATTTTTATTTATAAGAGTAGATTAATTTCAAAACTTGTTAAATAAGTAACAAAACTCAGCTCTTGGTTATGAAGCATCGACACCTATGGTGACTGTGTGACTCTTCTCGACTGTATGAAAATAAGGGAGAATAATGTCTCATATGGATGTCACATAGTAGCTTCTCCGTAGCGTTTTAGTCGTTGACTTGGAAAGTGACCCCGTTGTGGATGACGAGAGCGGTAGTTATGCTCGCAAGTCTCTGCAATAGGTACAAACAGGCTGCCCAGATTTGTACGATGGGTGCTCCAAGAAAGTGATTAAGCCGTCAGTGCATTTATTCTAACCTTTTTTGTTGTTGCTGTAGTTAATATCTATAAACTTTATTTCACATCAAAGCAATTTCCTTCAAATTCCGATTTTTCTGTTTTGTTAGTTCTAATGACTATATTCGTCACTCTCTATCAATATTTTTTTTTATCTACATGTGTTAAAAAAAGCAAAGTTGAAGCATGCATGGCGTCGAATACTATAGGGGAAAACTTAAACAATAAATATTAAACTGTATTTTGTGTATAAAATGACTGAAAAGAGAAAAAACGTATTTGCACGTCATATTAAGAACAATCTTTTGTTGTAGAGTTTGAAAATATCGATATACTATCAGATCAGTATATTTTTACATTTCGGAATACGACCAAAAGCACCTTCTTAACAGTACGATCAACGAAAAGGTCTAAAAAGACCAACTGAAGAGTAAATACAAATATTTCTATTCAATTTGGCAACAAGTTTACTACTAGTTAGTGGGTTGTAACGACCTTAACTGACTGTTAAGCCCTCGCACGGTCAGCTCGCTGCGCTGAGGCATTTGATGATCATTAACATATTTTTGTTGTTGTCGTCAAGATGGAAAAAGGCGGCTATTTTGGTTTAGCGTAGAAAGATTTGGTTTCTTGACGATTGAAGTATTACAATCTCCACAACGGCTGTTTTTAGAGACTGGTTGATCAGCTGGGCATGGGATGGTCTGATATGATATGATGGTATGATGTTATGTATGTCCAGAAGATAGTTCAAAATTTTTTTCCTTTTTTAATTTTTTAAAGACCTAAAAATTTTACAAAAGTCCAGAATTAATGAAGAAATGTGTAACATTCACATACTTTTCTTCATTAATTTGCCTATTTTTCAACCAAAATATTCCTTCATTAGCTTTTTAAAGACCTGGAAATTTTACAAATCTAGAATTAATGAGAAAAAAATGTTTCAAATTTTTAATGAAGGAATTACTACAAGATTTCATCAGATTGTTCTGGAATGTGGGAGAAGCTTATGATTTGTGGTTACCATTTGGCCAACGTGTCATACTTCTGATTGGTCGATTGATTTGATTGGTCGTAAAAGCCATGTGACTTATATAACTTGTGAATCGTAATGATTTTCACCATTTTGGATTTAGGCATAGACGCAGTAACATATCCTGGAAAGAAGCAGTGTCAAACAATTTCAAAAATCATGAATTCAACAGACCAGAGGATGTTATCAACATAAGAATGAACCTCTTATGCAGATCGTCATGTCAACATTTAGCCATGTTTTAACATAACTGATGTGTACGAAGGAAGCAAGCAAGGATATGTGCTGCCCAAATTTTCAACGTTTAGCAGTCATTATATAATGATATAGCAGTACCTTATGCTTGCAGTGCAGATCATCAGGTCAACATGGATCTTAGAACCATACATGGTATCAACTTATGTTAACATGGATGGATTGATGTCAACATTGATGGATACTGGGTATGCCGGATGAAAACCTGGTTTGCAGACCTTTATCATGCTCAACATGGTCTCATAAGGGTAGGTCTAAAATGATATGTAGCTTCGTCGTAGCGTTTTAATCACTGCATTGAAGAGTGGCCCCGTTGTGAATGACGAGAGCGGTAATTATGCTCGCTAGTCTCCACAATAGTTGCAAGTATGCTACCAAAGCTTGTAAAAAGGATGCTTTATTGACAGTGATTAGGACGTCATTACAAATTAAAAGGGGAATAACTTATTTTCTTCATATATGAACAAGTAAATGTTAGCATAATTTTTATTTATTAGAGTAGATTAATTTCAAAACTTGTTAAATAAATAACAAAAAGCAACGTTTGGTTATGAAGCATCAGCAGCTATGGTGACCGTGTGACTCTTCTCGACTGTATGAGATTAAGAAAGAATAATGTCTCATATGGATGTCACATAGTAGCTTCTCCGTAGCGTTTTAGTCGTTGACTTGGAGAGTGACCCCGTTGTGGATGACGAGAGCGGTAGTTATGCTCGGAAGTCTCTGCAATAGGTACAAACAGGCTGCCCAGATTTGTACGATGGGTGCTCCAAGAAAGTGATTAAGCCGTCAGTGCATTTATTCTAACCTTTTTTGTTGTTGCTGTAGTTAATATCTATAAACTTTATTTCACATCAAAGCAATTTCCTTCAAATTCCGATTTTTCTGTTTTGTTAGTTTTAATGAATATATTCGTCACTCTCTATCAATATTTTTTTTATCTACATGTGTTAAAAAAAGCAAAGTTGAAGCATGCATGGCGTCGAATACTATAGGGGAAACCTTAAACAATAAATATTAAACTGTATTTTGTGTATAAAATGACTAAAAAGAGAGAAAACGAATCTGCACGTCATATTAAGAACAATATATTGTTGTAGAGTTTGAAAATGTCGATATACTATCAGATCAGTATATTTTTACATTTCGGAATACGACCAGAAGCACCTTCTTAACAGTACGATCAACGAAAAGGTCTAAAAAGACCAACTGAAGAGTAAATACAAATATTTCTATTCAATTTGGCAACAAGTTAACTACTAGTTAGTGGGTTGTAACGACCTTAACTGACTGTTAAGCCCTCGCACGGTCAGCTTGCTGCGCTGAGGCATTTGATGAGCATTAACATATTTTTGTTGTTGTCGTCAAGATGGAAAAAGGCGGCTATTTTTGTTTAGCGTAGAAAGATTTGGTTTCTTGACGTTTGAAGTATTACAATCTCCACAACGGCTGTTTCCAGAGACCGGTTGATCAGCTGGGCATGGGATGGTCTGATATGATATGATGGTATGATGTAATGTATGTCCAGAAGATAGTTCAAAATTTTTTTCCTTTTTTAATTTTTTAAAGACCTAAAAATTTTACAAAAGTCCAGAATTAATGAAGAAATGTGTAACATTGACATACTTTTCTTCATTAATTTACCTATTTTTTCAACCAAAATATTCCTTCATTAGTTTTTTAAAGACCTGGAAATTTTACTAATCTAGAATTAATGAGAAAAAAATGTTTCAAATTTTTAATGAAGGAATTACTACAAGATTTCATCAGATTGTTCTGGAATGTGGGAGAAGCTTATGATTTGTGGTAACCATTTGGCCAACGTGTCATACTTCTGATTGGTCGATTGATTTGATTGGTCGTAAAAGCCATGTGACTTATATAACTTGTGAATCGTAATGATTTTCACCATTTTGGATTTAGGCATAGACGCAGTAACATATCCTGGAAAGAAGCAGTGTCAAACAATTTCAGAAATCATGGATTTAACAGACCAGAGGATGTTATCAACATGAGAATGAACCTCTTATGCAGATCGTCACGTCAACATTTAGCCATAATGTTTTAACATAACTGATGTGTACGAAGGAAGCAAGGATATGTGCTGCCCAAATTTTCAACGTTTAGCAGTCATTATATAATGATATAGCAGTACCTTATGCTTGCAGTGCAGATCATCAGGTCAACATGGATCTTAGAACCATACATGGTATCAACTTATGTTAACATGGATGGATTGATGTAAACATGGATGAATACTCGGCATGCCGGATGAGAACCTGGTTTGCAGACCTTTATCATGCTCAACATGGTCTCATAAAGGTAGGTCTAAAATGATATGTAGCGTCTCCGTAGAGTTTTAATCACTGCATTGAAGAGTGGCCCCGTTGTGAAAGACGAGAGCGGTAGTTATGCTCGCTAGTCTCCACAATAGTTGCAAGTATGCTACCAAAGCTTGTAATAAGGGTGCTTTAATGACAGTGATTAGGACGTCATTACAAATTAAAAGGGGAATAACTTATTTTCTTCATATATGAACAAGTAAATGTTAGCATAATTTTTATTTATTAGAGTAGATTAATTTCAAAACTTGTTAAATAAATAACAAAAAGCAACGTTTGGTTATGAAGCATCGGCACCTATGGTGACTGTGTGACTCTTCTCGACTGTATGAGATTAAGGGAGAATAATGTCTCATATGGATGTCACATAGTAGCTTCTCCGTAGCGTTTTAGTCGTTGACTTGGAGAGTGACCCCGTTTTGGATGACGAGAGCGGTAGTTATGCTTGCAAGTCTCTACATTAGGTACAAACATGCTGCCCAGATTTGTACGATGGGTGCTCCAAGAAAGTGATTAAGACGTCAGTGCATTTATTCTAACCTGTTTTGTTGTTTCTGTAGTTAATATCTATAAACTTTATTTCACATCAGAGCAATTTCCTTCAAATTCCGATTTTTATGTTTTGTTAGTTTTAATGAATATATTCGTCCCTCTCTATAAATATTTTCCTTTTTTAATTTTTAAAGACCTATATATGAAAAAGTAAATGTTAGCATAATTTTTATTTATAAGGGTAGATTAATTTCAAAACTTATTATATAAATAACAAAAAACAACGTTTGAATATGAAGCATCGGCAGCTATAGTGACTGTGTGACTCTTCTCGACTGTATGAGATTAAGGGAGAATAATGTCTCATATGGATGTCACATTGTAGCTTCTCCGTAGCGTTTTAATCGTTGACTTGGAGAGTGACCCCGTTGTGGATGACGAGAGCGGTAGTTATGCTCGCAAGTCTCTGCAATAGGTACAAACAGGCTGCCCAGATTTGTACGATGGGTGTTCCAAGAAAATGATTAAGAGGTCAGTGCATTTATTCTAACCTTTTTTTGTTGTTGCTGTAGTTAATATCTATAAACTTTATTTCACATCAAAGCAATTTCCTTAAAATTCCGATTTTTCTGTTTTGTTAGTTTTAATGAATATATTCGTCCCTCTCTATAAATATTTTCCTTTTTTATTTTTTTAAAGACTTATATATGAAAAAGTAAATGTTAGTATAATTTTTATTTATTAGAGTAGATTAATTTCAAAACTTGTTAAATAAATAAGAAAAATCAACAATTGGTTATGAAGCATCGGCACCTATGGTGACTGTGTGACTATTCCCGACTGTATGAGATTAAGGGAGAATAATGTCTCATATGGATGTCACATAATAACTTCTCTGTAGCGTTTTAGTCGTTGACTTGGAGAGTGACCCCGTTGTGGATGACGAGAGCGGTAGTTATGCTCGCAAGTCTCTGCAATAGGTACAAACAGGCTGCCCGGATTTGTACGATGGGTTCTCCAAAAAAGCGATTAAGACGTCAGTGCATTTATTCTAACCTTTTTTGTTGTTGCTGTAGTTAATATCTATAAACTTTATTTCACATCAAAGCAATTTCCTCCAAATTCCGATTTTTCTGTTTTGTTAGTTTTAATGAATATATTCGTCCCTCTTTATAAATATTTTCCTTTTTTATTTTTTAAAGACCTATATATGAAAAAGTAAATGTTAGCATAATTTTTATTTATTAGAGTAGATTAATTTCAAAACTTGTTAAATAAATAAGAAAAATCAACAATTAGTTATGAAGCATCGGCACCTATGGTGACTGTGTGACTCTTCTCGACTGTATGAGATTAAGGGAGAATAATGTCTCATAAGGATGTCACATAGTAGCTTCTCCGTAGTGTTTAAGTCGATAACTTGTAGAGTGACCCCGTTGTGGATGACGAGAGCGGTAGTTATGCTCGCAACTCTCTGCAATAGGTACAAACAGGCTACCCAGATTTGTACGATGGGTGCTCGAAGAAAGTGATTAGGACGTCGATGCATTTATTCTTATCTATTTTGCTGTTGCTTTAATCAATATCTATAAACATTATTTCACATCAAAGCAATTTCCTTCAAATTCCGATTTTTCTGTTTTGTTAGTTTTAATGAATATATTCGTCCCTCTCTATAAATATTATTTTTTATCTACATTTGTTAAAAATAATAAAAGTTGAAGCATGCATGGCGTCGAAGGGCGGTGACTTCTATAAGGGGAAAACTTAAACAAACAATATTTAACTGTATGGTTTGTAGTACATGACTTAAACGAGGAAAAAAGTATCTGCGCGTCATATTTAGGACCATTATCGTTGCGTTCGGCTGTTAGGAATGAGACGTGAAGGAATAAACAAGTTAAGGTAGTAGTTGTAAATAATGTTTAAACGACAACAACATCAGTTACTTGGAAATCCAGCAAACTTCATCAACACTCATCCATTCTGATCTGCAATACTGTTGATTCGTTCTCTATTTTTGTGTATATTCCTAATAGCAAATCCACTCCAGTTTCATCCTCAAATAAAAATTAAATGCCACGAAATAGTATTTTGTCTTGTAATATATGCTTATGGGAAATACCAAATAATAAATAGTTAAAATAAAAATTACAAATACTGGTGAATCCTCAAATCCCATGTCTATCATGAAAGTTTTGTCAACAATATCTGTGAGAAAATCGCCACAAAAGCTTCCCGTCTCGCTCAATTCAACAAGAGATTAAGAGTTGCCCAACAAAGATAAAATTATCTGTAAGTTACTTTCACAGAATCAATCATGTTTTTTAACTGTAGCTATAGACATTTCAACCCTATACCAATATTTAGTACCCATTGAATTCTTTTTCAATATTTTTGTTATCGTGTTGACCAACGAAGGCTTAAAACAAAGAAAAACACTGGAGTAAATACAAATATCTTTATTCAATTAAGCAACAAGTTAGCTACTACTTCGTGGTTTTTAATGACATTGACTCACACGGTCTGCTCGATGTCTTAAGGCATGTGGTGAGCATTAAAATTCTGTTGTTGTCGTCGTCAAGTTGAAAAAGGCGGCCATTTCGGTTTTACGTAGATATATTGGGTTCGTCACCAGGAGCTAATCCAGCACGTCCGTTCGGCTGTAAGTACTGAGACGTGATGGGATGAACCAGTTAACGTAGTAGTTGTAGATGTTGTATACACGCCAACAAGACCAGTTACTTGGAAATCCAGCAAACTAGCTAGCCGGGTTTTAAACTTCATCGACACTTAGCCATTCTGTTCTGCAGTATGGGCACACATCAAGTCCCTCCCGATAGTTTCTCAAACAGGCTGAATGCACACCATGACAGCAATATATATTTATGGTGATATCCTTTGTGTTGTTAACTGTCGCCTGCCTCATTGTTTCATGAATGGTTTCTAGACAGATAGGACACTCAGTATTCTTTATCATGTTAGTACATGTACCAGAAGAGCAAGACATACACATTGATTCGGTTGATTCGTTATTCATGTGGTATACACTCTTTAGAGCAAATCCACTCCAGCTGCGTCCGCAAATTAAAACGGTCGTGCCACGAAATAGCAATCTGTACTGTTATATATGCTTATGGGAAATACTTTAATAATAAAAAAAGTACAAATAGTTAAAATAAATTTAACAAATACTGGTGTATCCTCAAATGCCATGTCTATCATAAAAAGTTTTGTCAACGATATCCTTGAGAGAATCGCCACAGAAGCTTCCCGTCTCGCCCAATTTAACAAGAGATCTATCATCACTACTCGGGAGATCCAGACTGCAGTTCGTCTGCTCTTACCCGAAAAAACTGTCAAGCACACCGTAGGCTAAGGTACCTAAGCCGTAACAAAGTACACCAGCAACAAGTTAATGTAGTAGTTGTAGGTGTAGTAGTTACCAAATAACCGATTCTGACGCAATATTTACAATGCAAACCCTATGGGAGTGAAGTTAACCTCCTTGGTGTATAAAGTCATTATGGAGGAAGTGTTGTTCCACAAAGATAAAATTATCTGCAAGTTACTTTCACAGAATCAATCATTTTTTTAACTGTAGCTATAGACTTTTCAACCCTATGCCAATATTTAGTACCCATTAAATTCTTTTTCAATATTTTTGTTATCGTGTTGACCAACGAAGGCTTAAAACAAAGAAAAACACTGAAGAGTAAATACAAATATCTTTATTCAATTAAGCAACAAGTAAGCTACTACTTCGTGGTTTATAACGACATTGACTGGCTGTTAAGCCCTCACACGGTCGGATCGATGTCCTAAGGCATGTGGTGAACATTAAAATTCTGTTGTTGTCGTCGTCAAGATCAAGAGAGATCCAGACTGCAGTACATCTCCTTTTACCCGGAAAAACGGTCAAGCACACCGTAGGTTAAGGTACCAAAGCCGTAACAAAGTACACCAGCAACAAATTACCGATTCTGACGCAATATTTACAATGCAAACCCTATGGGAGTGAAGTTAACCTCCTTGGTGTATAAAGTCATAATGGAGGAAGAGTTGCCCCACAAAGATGAAATTATCTGTAAGTTACTTTCACAGAATCAATCATTTTGTTAACTGTAGCTATAGACTTTTCAACCGTATGCCAATATTTAGTACCCATTGAATTCTTTTTCAATTTTTTTGTTATCGTGTTGACCAACGAAGGCTTAAAACAAAGAAAAACACTGAAGAGTAAATCTAAATATCTTTATTCAATTAAGCAACATGTTAGCTACTACTGCGTGGTTGTAGTTACCAAATTACCGATTCTGCCGCAATATTTACAATGCAAACCCTGTGGAAGTGAAGTTAACTACTTGGTGTATAAAGTCACTATGGCGGACGAGTTGCCCCACAAAGATAAAATTATCTGTAAGTTACTTTCACAGAATCAATCATTTTAGAAGTTCGATTCTGGCGCAATATTTACAATGCAAACCC